TGCTCTTGTGTTGTGATTCTTTTGATTCGTTAATTTCTTTCTTGTTTGTTATTTCATGTCTCATCGATCTTGGTTAGGAATGGTCAATTCGTAACAACTGGTATCAAAGCATTGGTTCAAGTGGGAGTGATGGCTACAGACGAAAAGGTTAGAATCGATAAATTCAATGGTGCAGATTTTAGATTTTAGAAGATGCAGATTGAAGACTATCTATATCAGAAAAAACTGTATGAGCCCCTTTCAGGGACGAAACTAGAAAAGATGAAGGACGATGAGTGGACTCTTCTTGATCGCCAAGCTCTAGGTGTTATTCGGCTAACATTGTCTCGTAACGTTGCGTTTAACATAGCGAAAGAGAAAACTATAGCGGGTCTCATGGTGGCACTCTCAAACATGTACGAAAAACCCTCTACCTTAAATAAAGTTTATTTGATGCGTAGATTGTTTAATCTGAGGATGACAGAAGGTGCTTCGGTGGTTGAGCATCTGAACGAATTCAATATTGTGGTAACATAATTAAGTTCTGTATCTATCGAATTTGATGATGGGATTAGGGCTTTGATTCTTCTATCTAGTTTGCCAAAAAGTTGAAATGGTATGTAACAACAGTGAGTAATTCTTCGGGAAAAGAAAAGTTGAATTACAATGATATTCGAGATTTAATTTTGAGTAAAGAAATTCGCAAGAGGAAATTAGGGGAAACATCAGGTTCTGCCCTGAATACAGAAGCCAGATGAAGATTGGTAAGAAAAAAACCCGAACTGTAACAGATCAAAATCCAAACACAGAAGCAAGCCAAGAACTGAAGAGGCACAGAGTTGTTGGAACTGTGGAAAGAAGGGACATTTAAAAGAAGATTGCCCGACATTAAATAAGAACAAAGGTGATCAAAATCAGAAGTCTACTAATGCTGTAACGGAGGAGATATATGATGCTTTGATCTTGAGTATTGACAGCCCTTTTGAATATTGGATTTTAGATTCTGGGGCATCATTCCATTCTACTTTACAGAGGGAAATCATGGACAATTACATTGGTGGTGATTTTAAGAAGGTTTATTTGGCTGATGATGAACCCTTGAAGATTGTGGGTAAAAGGGATGTGATAATCAAGTTGCCAAACGGATCTGTTTGGAAGATACAAAATGTCAAACATGTGCTTGGTTTGAAAAGAAACTTGATTTCTGTTGGACAACTTGATGATGAAGGTCATGTTGTAACCTTTATGGGTCGTTTGTGAAAAGTCACCAAAGCAGCCATGGTTGTTGCTCGTGGTAAAAAAGAAGGCACCCTTTACATGACTACGAACAATAGGGATACAGTAGCAGTTGCTGGTGAAAAGGAAGACTCAAATCTGTGGCACTAAATGCTTGGACATATGAGTCAAAAATGGATGAAGGTACTTGCATCTAAGGGGAAATTGTCAGATTTGAAATCGGTGGACATTGACTTTTGTGAGGATTGTATATTTGACAAACAAAAGAGGGTCAACTTTTCAGAGGATAATAGGAAACCGAAGTCAGAAAACTTGGAGTTGGTTCATACAGATGTGTGGGGACCTGTACCAGTTTCATCTATCATACTATGTTACCTTTATAGAAGACTTAACGAGAAATGTATGGATTTATTTTTTAAAACATAAATTTGAAGTTTATACTACTTTTAAAAAGTAGAAAGCCTTGGTGGAGACTAAAACAGGTATGAAAATTAAGTGTTTGAGATCAGATAATGGAGGGAATATTAGGATAATGAGTTCAAGAAATATTGTGCAGAAAGTGGAATTAGAATGAAGAAGATTGTTTGAAAGACACCTCAACAGAATGGCGTTGCAGAACGCATGAATAAAACTCTGAATGAACATGCTAGAAGTATGAGGATACATGCCGGATTACCAAAGATGTTTTGGACAGATGCAGTTAACACTGTAGCATATCTGATTAACCGTGGTCCATCTGTTCCATTGGATGGAGAGCTACCAGAAGAAGCTTAGAGCAAGAAATAGGTAAATCTTTCTTTTTTGAAGGTATTTGGCTATGTTTCATATGTGCATATAAATTCTACTGATAGAAGTAAACTTGATCCGAAATCTGTTAAATGTACTTTTATAGGGTATAACATTGACTAATTTGGTTATCGATTTTGAGATGATAAAAATCGAAAAATAATCAGAAGTAGAGATATCATATTTAATGAGAAAGTAATGTATAAGGATAGAGATAAGTCTGCATCTGAATCTGTTACTTGTCATGAGCATGTTGAGTTAGAGGAGATTAGTGAGCATGATTTGACTAATCAGATTCAGAATAATCTTGAAAATCTTATTCCACAACTTAAGCCACATACTTCTACTCCTAAGTTGAGAACGTCAGAAAGAGAGTCTAAAGCTACACAGCGTTGGTCTCCGTCTTTACTTTATTTGTTATTGTCTGATGGGGGTGAACTTGAAAGTTATGATGAGGCTTTGCAGGTTGATGATTCAATTAAGTGGGACTCAGCTATGCAGGATGAAATGGATTTACTCATGGCAAACCAGACATGGAAGTTGATTGAATTACCAGTGGATAAGAAAGCTTTGCACAATAAGTGGGTTTACAGAGTCAAACAGGAACATAATGGGAGTAAATGCTACAATGCCAGATTGGTTACAAAGGGATTTCAGCAAAAAGAAGGGGTTGACTACACTGAAAATTTCTCTCCAGTTATGAAGTTGACCTCTATCAGATTGGTGCTGGGAATTGTGGCTACTGAAGATTTGCATCTTGAGCAAATGAAAGTGAAGACGGCTTTGCTCCATGGTGATTTAGAAGAGAAAATTTATATGAAGCAACCACAAGGTTTCTTGGCACATGGCAAAGAAGAGTTTGTATGCAAACTTCGAAAAAGCTTGTACGGTTTGAAACAGGCCCCAAGGTAGTGGTACAAGAAGTTTGATGGGTTTATGTGTAGTAACGGTTTTACAAGATGTCAAGCAGATCATTGTTGTTATTTCAAGAGGTTTGACAAAAGTTATATTATTTTGCTCTTATATGTTGATGATATGCTTATTACAGAATCTAGCATTGAAGAGATTAAAAGATTAAAGAAACTTTTGTCCAATGAAGGATCTTGGAGTTGCAAACAAAATCCTTGGTATGAGGATTCAGGGACAAGACAAATGGTACTTTGAAGTTGTCAAAGGTTGAGTATGTCAAGAAAGTTCTCAAGAGGTTTAGCATGGATGGTGCAAAACTAGTGAGCGCTCCATTGGCTAGCCACTTCAGACTTGCCAAAGAGTTGTCTCCGAAGATCAAAGAAGAGCAGGCTTACATGGAATGTGTTCTATATGATTCAGCTATAGGTAGCATAATGTATGCTATGGTTTGTACTAGACCAGACATTGCACATGCAATGGGAGTGGTTAGTAGGTACATGAGTAATCTAGGCAAGCAGCATTAGGAGGTAGTGAAGTGGATCCTTAGCTACTTGAGTGGTACTACAGACATGGCACTTTGTTTCAGACAAACCGACATCGGGTTACATGGTTATATTGATGCAGACTTGGTTGGTGGTATGGATAACAGAAAGAGTACTACTGGTTATGTTTACACATTGGATGGTACAGCAGTGAGTTGGATTTCACAGTTATAGAAGATTGTGGCCCTTTTTACAAAAAAGGCTGAGTATGTTGCTATTACTGAAGCTGGGAAGAAGATGACTTGATTACAGAATTTCCTAGCAGAGTTAGATAAGACGTAAGAGATGAGTATTTTGCATAGTGACAGTCAAAGTGCTATTCATCTTGTAAAGAATTCAACTTTTTATTCTAGGATGAAACACATTCAGTTGCGATACTATTTCATTCGTTCACTTGTAGATGATGGAGTATTGTCTCTTGAGAAGATCCAAGGCAATAAGAATCCAATAGATATGTTGACCAAGACAGTCACCATTGACAAACTGACGTTGTATGCAACTTCAGTTGGCCTTCAAGATTGATGAAGGAAGATTGAGTTGTTGCGGCGTTCCTCTATGTGATGAAGATGATGGAGAGCTTGTGTTATCAGGTTCCAAGTGGAAGATTGTTGGGTCGGTGGACCCTGATAAGTACTGTTTACTAAACCCTACCGTTCACTCAAACACTGGATCCAATGGGGGGTTTGGATACTTTTGTAATTCTCATATGCTTCCGTATAACCCTAATTCTATACTTATAAATATATGAGGGGACGCCTCTTTTAGGTTAAGAGAGAGTTGTATTTTTCTAATCATAGTGAAAACCACAGTAGCCGTGGACGTAATCCTATTCTGGGGTGAATCATGTATATTCTTATGTTCTTGTGTGTATAATTTGTTTGATTCGTTAATTTCTTTCTTTTTTATCATTTCATATTTCACTGATCTTGATTAGGAATGGTCAATTCTTAACAACTTCATTCATCCTATTCATAAATTAAATTTTTTCTCTAAAAAGATGTGTACAATTTTTTTTATTATTTTAAAACTATTCATTTGTTATTAAAAAATGTGTTTTTATAGTAATTAGTTTTTATTATGAAGGATTTGTTTTGTATTTTATAAAGGTTAACCAACATTATTAAAATTAAAAAAAAAAATTAAATTACACAACAAACCTCCTTTATAGAAATTATTCGCCTTTGCATTTAGGAAGACATTAGTCTAATGATCATCAGTGATTAAATTACACAACAAACCTCCTTTATAGAAATTATTCGCCTTTGCATTTAGGAAGACGTTAGTCTAATGATCATCAGTGATTATGAAATTATAGTTTTGTTTTTGAAAGTAGGAATCTAATTTTTTTTTTTTTTTTTTTTTGGGTTTTGTTTTGACAAACGTACAGAAACGATATGATTTAAATAAGTCGATCAACTAATAAATTGACTCTTTTTTTTATGTTCCAAAAATTAACGGTTGAGATCGTCCCGTACGTTGAACAAACCCACAGACCAGCACTGGGCCTTCTGTAGGCCTCAAAAACCCATATAAACCATGGATGGAGCCCATTATATTATGTTTGTAGGGGTAGGGGTTTGTCTCTGAGAGGATCAATGGCGGAGGAGAACCCTAGATCGAGAGGTACTGTGAGGTGGTTTAACGACCAGAAGGGCTTCGGCTTCATCCGGCCCGATGACGAAGGCGAAGATCTCTTCGTTCATCAATCAGCCATCATATCGGACGGCTTTCGAACCCTTCAAGAAGGTCAGGCCGTTGAGTTCCTGATCGCCTTGGAGAATGATCGCACAAAAGCCATTCAAGTCACCGGTCCCAACGGATCTTCCCTTGAGAAGATCCGCAGAGATGATTTCAGAGGCGATCGCACTGACGCTTATGGTGTCCGCAGCGGCGGAGGGTATGGGTTCAATGGAGGATGGAGAGGCAGTGGAAGGGACGGTGGCGGCAATGCCTATCGCGGCGGTGGGTGTTACAACTGTGGGGAGGATGGCCACTTGGCTAGGGATTGTCCCCGGCAGGGGAGTAGCGCTGGTGGCGGCGGGGTTTGTTATAACTGCGGCGAGTTTGGGCATTTGGCAAGAGATTGTAATCGCGGCCGTGGCGGCGGCGGAGCCACTGGTGGTGGTGGGGGTTCCTGCTATAACTGTGGGGGGCAAGGGCACTTGGCCAGGGAGTGCCCTAGTGGAGGAAGTGGAGGCAGAAGTCGCGGTGGTTATGGAAGGTTCGGAAGTGGAGGCGGCGGCGGCGGTGGTGGTGGTGGAAGCAACTGCTACAACTGTGGGGAGCAAGGGCACTTCGCTAAAGAATGCCCTAACTCCGCAGGGCCTTGATAACTCATGGTGATATGAAAAGGATCTCTCTTTTTCTTCTTACCTTCTTTTGATAATCTGCTGTTTCTGTTCAGTTTTTTGTTTTTGTTTTTGTTTAGTGGGTTATACATAGGATAGTCTCTGATTTTGGGTGTCATTCGGTTTGACGACGATCCACGGTTTGCGAATCAATTTTTCCAGTTGATACACATATATAGATGGTGGGTCGGTTACTGATCGACGGTTTTGCTTCATTTTGGTATTGATAAACATGGTATAACTATACAGTTAGTAACTTCTCTTCCAAGTGTTTATATATTCAAGTTTATGTGACCTGATTGTTTAATCTTTCATCCAGGTGTGCATTTATGGCTTTGTTATTAATTAACCTTTAAGTGTATTTGTTTCAATGTAGGCCATGAATGCAAAATACAATCTGTTTGTTTAATGCTACTGCTTCAATTCTTAATTAAGATGTTCATTTATGGCGTTATTATTAATTAGCCTTTAAGTGTGCTTGTTTCAATGTAGGCTATGAATGCAAAATATATTTTGCCTTGTGATATATAACAGTTGTTGAGTTATTCAGTTTGGCTTGTGACATCAAGATCAAAATGGTCATCATTTGATTTTATAAGATTTTTCTTTCTTCAGTTAGTTATAAGATTTTATAGGATTTTTGCCCTACATATATGGTTATATATACATATATAGGGTGCCTTGGGAATTTGGCATTAGAAGTGGAGGATATCTTAATGATAGTACAGAGGCGGGTCTACCTGACTCCTGTTCCTGACCCAAACTTGAATTAGGTTTCATCTTTTTTTGTTGAACTGCCATTGTTCCGTTTAGGGTCCCAAAACCTGTCTCAATAGGGGCTTGGTGGGTTTCTGCCTGTATATATAATAAGAAGTAATCATCATTGAAGTATTTACGTATTGATTACTAGAATAATTCATAACCTTGATGTTAATGCAAATCAATAAGAATATACTTCATGAATTAATTTCATGATATTTACCATCCGGCACATGCTTTCTCTGTCATATTTAAGATGTGTTATTATCCATGTCCTCTTTCATGGCATGATGGTTTCACCTCTACGAACTTCCCTTTTGGTAAGAGAGAGGTGATGTATGACTGAGGAAGAAAAAGAAATGTGGAAAATGCCTTATATAAGGAGAGGGAGGGGAAGAGGGAAGGGGATCAACAATTTTACCATTGTCTTTTCAGCTTATAAATATATACATTTGAAATATGGATAGGCATAACACAAGTTTGCAGTTGCAATGTTGGTAGATGTGATGCTAGAAATTGTTTGGTTTTTAAATATGTTTAATTACCTTGAGTGTTAGCAGCTCAACTTCTGACCATTTTGTACTTTGGCAGTAATAGTAGTAATGATGTGTTTCATGCTCCTCCTCCCTCTACTCCCAGAACACCTGCCTCCCCTATCCATGTCCAATAACTATTCTTCAAGTAATGACAACGAGGTCATGCAAGACTCTGATGATGACAGTTCCGTCCAAAATGAACTGACAAATCGACAAGAGACTCTTGCCGCTGGATGGGAAGAAGATTCCCTTTCTTCTCTTTCTCCCTGTACGTTTCGACTCATTAACATCAGTGTTACCAAAATCTTCTGTCATCATTTCATAAGCGGCAGCGAATTCAATAGCTTCCATGGTATCTTGTTGAATTTTTGTCGCTTCTTCAAATTTGTGAAAAGTTGTGGCAACTTTCCTGAATTCTTCAGGTACCTCCTCACCACCTTCCGTTAAACCAGTAAAGATAGACTGATTTGCTGGTTGTGCGGCAAAAGGATTGACCCAGGTAGACTGTGGGTAATCAGTGGGTGTGTGAAGGTCAGGTTCATAATCAGGGTTATACCCCAAAGGGTAAAGAATCGGATCATTATCAGCAATATTAGCACTTAGCAGTGCTGGTAGTAATTGAATTGGTGTGCCAAAAGGTGGTAGGCAGAGTAACTATTGTTGTCTTGGTTGTTCTTGTGGCAAGGTTAGCATCAAGTGGTGGCTTTGCCAACATAGGTTGAGTTGTAATTTCAATGTTTTCCTCTGCCACTGCTTGGTGGTGCACCTAGTCTGCTAATCTGAGTTGTTTGGTGTTCCAAGGCAATGCCTCAACGCTTCTAGGATCCACATGGTCACATAGGCCCATGTGATCATGTGGCTCTAGATGCCTTATATAAATTTTCCTGCTAATCAGGGGTCTAAGCAATTAAAGATGCTGTGGCGAGGAACCGTGGATGCTGTATTGATGTGGAGGTAAGTTCTTGGGTCTTGAATCAGTTCATTATCTGATTAAGTTCTGCCAATTATTTTTCTCGTTCTTGCTATAAATGTCTTTGAATTAAAGCTTTAGTTACGATTCTAAACCAAACCGTTATATATTTATATATTATTTTTTAAATAATTTTGTATGTAAAAATATTATCTAGACCAAACCATTATATATTTGTATATTATTTTTAAAAATATTTTTGTATGTAAAATTATTAATATAGAAGTTACTAGTGAGATTTGAACACTAGTCTTGATTGTTAGTAGGGAAATATTAGGAATACATAGGGTTATGTGCACAGAATGTATAATTCTCTCACATGAGGGTGAAGCCCGCCCTCATGTGAGAGGGTTGTGCATTCTATGCACAACTTTCTGTGTTCCTAGCATTTCTCTTATTAATACGTTTACTATTGTAATATATATATATATATGGAATGACTTGTCTCGAGTTAAAATTTTAATTGGATCAGACAGTTGAAGTCTCTGACCTGTAAGAATCATTAAACGGAAGATTCTGACCGGTAAGAGTCATTAAATGGAAGACCCTTACTGGTAAGAGGTCTTTGAAAAAATTTAATTGGCTATGTTTTCATCGACTTCTACTGGTAGGAGACCTCCGTTTAATAATTTTTACCGGGTATGAAACCTCAATTGTTTGGTCTACTTGAAAGTTCAACTGGAGATAAGCCAAATCCATATATATATATATATATATATCATATTTCTTGTTATATAAAATTTCTAAAATTGAATTAAACTAGTTTTTATGTTTCAATTCTGGTCCGATTACATAAGTTTAATAGTTCAATTACAATTTTAATTTTTTTTGAAATCATTGGGACCAGTTCAGTTCGTTGGTTTATTTTAAAATTGGACCTTCGTTGGTTTATTTTAAAATTGTACCAATCCGATCTATGAACACTCCTATTGAGTGGAGTAATGTTAGAGACTTCAAAAATTCTATCAAAATTTATACCAAATGTCTTAGGGACCCACACAATGTAGCTCTCATACTCATGTGAGACATTTGGTAGAATTTTTAGTAGAAATTTTGGGGTCTTTAGTATTTTTGTATTGATTATGTATTTCTAACCATAAATGCTGCTGGACTTAAATGTGGGATTAGGCTAAGAGTTATATGCCTCTTTCTAAGAGTTCATCTACTTGTTTTTTGAACTCTTGATAATTGTCAAGGAGGTCACAAGTATTACCCTGATTATTGCTAGCGAGTTTGCTAACTCTTAGCTTTCATCGAGCTTTTATCTTTTTCCCAAAGGTTTAAGGATTGATCTTCTAGATTCTTTGGAATTTTAAATTTTCTAAAGACATCTTCTGTTGAATTGTTACGATGAACATAAGATTTTGATAGTGTTGGTTCAAAATTTGAATAATTTATTCAAAATTTTTGGTTGATAAATTTCAAGAAAATCAATTATTTTTATGGTTTATTTATTTAAATAATGGCGTTTTATTTCATGTATTTCTCCACCATGCTGTGTGCCTGATCACTCTAATCTATTTATTGTTTAGATTTTAGCTTATTTGGGAGAAATCCCTCGTGAACTATTTCAAATATTTTGTAAAGTAGTATGGTTGCAATTTCTCTTGGGTTTCTTTTCTTCTTTTTTCTTTTTGTAAACCAAAATATATTACTTGAACTTAATTACATCAGTTGCTAGCTCATGCTTTGGTTGAATTACATCTCTTCCAACCTTACTAACACATAAATAGTCAAAAAACTTGGAATAATATATGATATCATGAATAATAGTAGCAATAAGCCAAGTTGTCTCCTTGCCTTGCTTTTGAAGCATTCTAATCATAACTTGGCAATCCGTTTGAGCTGTGACACAGTTTATCCCCTCGTTTGCAGCCCATCGAACAGCTTCCAAGCATGCCTCTGCCTCAACCGCCAATGGAGTTTGGAGGGGATGTACCACTAGTGCAGTTTCATTGATCGTTTGGTTCTTGTTATCCATACAAATCCGTGCAGAATCCAAACAAATCCATGCTAGCCCTGCACGTTAGTGAAATGATTTCCATGATCCATCAATGATGAGTGTCCATGACTCCACAGCATTCCTGGGCTCCTGAATTTTTGGCAAAACACCCGTCAGATTTTTTATCCTCAACTGCAAACATATTATCGGTGTGTATAGATGATGCTTGAAGTGCATTATTAAAGACCAACACAGATAATGTCTGTGCTTCCTCGATTGTGCTTTCAATAGTTGGAAAATTCTAATTGAATACAACACTATTTCTTTGCAGTCATATAGCCCAAAGAATGGCCATTGAATGAATGATAACTTGATCTTCCTTTGCTTGTGCAACCCACTCCTTAAACCATCGGAAGAAAGACACTGGTGTTTCAATACTAAAATCAAGCCCCAACATAGGCCCTCTCCACACCCTTTGCAACCAATGACAATCAAAAAATACATGTTCTAAGGTTTCATCGTTATTATTGCATCGAGCACACTAAGTATTTATAGGCACTTCTAGCTTCTTCAATTCCCATTGGATTGGAAGTATTCTATGGAGACATTTCCAGGTGAATAAAGTCCATTTAGGAGGTAATTTTAAATGCCACAGTTTTTTCCATATCACTTGTTCCGATGTAGTCCTATAAAACAAAAGTTAATTTTGAATCAAGGCTTGTTTATAGCTAGATTTAACTGGATATTTCCTATCTTTAAGAGGACCCCAGACTAGCTTATCTTCACAAGGATGATTTGAAATGTGAATTGCTAAAATGTGCCTTATACACTCTTCTGGAGAAAGAGATTTCTAGATAAAGGCTAAGATAAATTTATATAGGAATCTGATTTCTACATAAATCTACTCCGCCTTTCAATTTAGACATTCTGGTGAAGCTTGAAAGGTTGCTCCAATAGACCAGATGAGTTTTTTTCCGCACCAATAAGAATTTCCTCATCTGACTAAGTTCTGTCTACCTTGTTATTTTTAAGGTACAAGCATTACACTATTTTTTAGGTACAAGCATCATATGGTGGCATGGAATAATTTTTCATTTTTTTAGTGGCTTCTACCCTACCTTTGTGTCAGTCTATATTCAAATATTTTTCAGCTGCATTTATCGG